GTCAAAATTAGAATTTAGTTCTTGAGTCCTCAGCAGAACAACCCAACTCTTCAGTCTGCTTCAACCAGCTTTTCTTTCGTGGTATCTAGGAGTTATTCTCGTGATCAATTCTCTTCCATGGTAAGAAAACCATGTGTGTGGATGACACGCAGGTTAGAGAAAGGTAGTGAAGTTCCAAGACTCCCTAACATTTGCAATGTGTAGCTGTGATAATATCCACCCCTAAAATTCTAAGCTGCACAGCTTTACCGTGAATGCACGAAACTTGCATCTGGACTGTAAGAACTCGGTTCAGAAGAATGTTTTTTAAATCTCTGTGTTATTCTATGAGCACTTAGCTTACCACAACACCATGTTAAAAAACTGTTTCAATAGAGATTTAATCTTATCCCATACTAGCTGTCCAGATCTATAAAAAGCACCAGGTCAATCATGTCTCATTGCTCTGGCAATTCTTTCTGGCTCCAGGGAACCAAAATGTCGGCCTTTTCCCAGTTACGCAGTGGAACTCAGGAGCCAGAGTCACGTGTTTGGAACGAAAGTGGGTGACATGAGTTGTCCATTATTTGCTTTCTGACTGAGTGCCAATCATATTCTGCTTAAAAATTTGAAGAGCTTGGTTGTCAGTTCTTCTGTGAAGAAATGACTTTTCATTTAAATATTCATTCATGCAAAAGGGGAAAAAAATCATACATCTGTCACTATTTATGAAAACCCATCTTACTGCCACCTCTACAACCAGCTTTGGATTTTTTTGCTTCTGCATGAAACCTAGAAGTTGCCCAGGGGAAAAAGGCCCAAGGAGGGTATTCAAATATGAAATCCATAATCACTTTATTTATTAAATGTATATATTTGACCTCCTAAATAAATATGAACTCACTGATCCAGCATTACAGATGTGAGCATCTCAGAATAGCTATAACTCTCAGAGGCTACCATTCTCCGCTGATTCCTGCATCAATGCATGCTGAGTCGCCAGGGTTTTAGATGTGCAGTTGTCTGTCTGTCTCCAGGGTCTCAAATCTTTGGGCCATATTTCTTTGTTCTCCCATTTTAGGTGGGACACCAGACTGTTCCACAAAGCTGTCTCTTCCGTACAGTTATTCTAGCCATGGTGCGCAAAAAGCTTAAACTGACATGGAGAAAAATAAAGCTGTACTAAGTTCTCAATAAGTCAGCTGCCCTGCAGTTGGAGCTCCTGTCTAATTCTGGGCTCTGGCACCCAGGCTGCTGCTGAGTAAGCTGAGGTTAGGACTCCACACATGTAAAGCTGGTCAGGTTTAAAACAGTTGTGGCTTCTCTGTAATAATTTTTCCCTGAAATAATGTCGAGAGAGGCAGAGTGTGTGGTACTGTGGGAGAAAACACAACCAAAGGACATGTGGGCTGGGAGTTTCTTTCTAAGGCCGGTATGATTCATGGGGTAGGTACGGGCAGTGCAGCCAAGGACTGGTTGGAAACTGGAGTTTTAACCTTTGAAGCACGTTTAGTTTAATGCCCTCAGCCTGGTGTGTGTTACAAGTATCACGTAAATAAAACCCATCCTTGAGATTGCTTAACTGGGTTTTCCCAGCACTCTATTTTTTCCTATTTCTTTTCCAACTAGCTTTGCCCAGTTTTTAAGAAATGCCTCCTCCCCTGCTTATAAAGCATGTTGGCTTTGTTTAGTAAGCAGAAGAATCTTTTAGGAAGTCCCACTATTGGGCAAGATTTCATAAATTAACTTTTTCAGGGAAAAAATGTGTTTTCCTCTTCTGTTACTAACATACAAAAGTAGCATGCCATATGGAATCATGTAGAATGCCAAATCTTTCCAAATGACTCGAGTAAGAGAGTTTTTGTTTGCCTCTTGCTACGTATAGTTAGTTGGCAGGCAATCTTTAGAACGGATGCAAGTTGCACTCATTGACCTGCAGGGGGCGTTAACAAGTGCAACACACAAGATAACGCCTACAAGTCTAATTGTTAAAGAAAAAAAAATCATGTTTAGATTGCAGTTTCTTCATGAAGAAAGACAACAAGAATACTTCCTTTTTCATGGGCTGGTGTTTTCATAAACATTGCCTATGCTCTGTCTCCCCCAGGATTAGCACACACAGGCAGGGGCCATCTGCCAAAGGCTGGCCCGGCTGCCTTTGAGATCAGAGACCAGAAGGTATTCCAAGCTCTCCGAGGCCAGGACCCGGGTCAGTCTTGTTCCTCACCACACAGCACACAGAAGGCGCTCAGCCAATGATAACGAAACACATCTCAGTGGACAAAAATAGAGACGCTACCTTGAGGGAAAACACTATGTAAAAACAGATTTCATGCTTGTTCTTTGGTAAACAGTTTGACAAAGATTTCCTATGAGATAAAATATGTAAGTTATGTTTTATCTGCATTTACATGTTTTATAATTTGCCTCAGTTTCTTCACTCAGCACATTATGTGTTGTCTGTTATTGCCAGACATCTCTCTGATTACTCAGTAGAGTGATATGTCGCACTCTGCTGTACTCAACGAAATTGGCAGGTAATAATAATTAGTTGATAGAAAAACAAAATAAAGCAGATTAGAGGATATAGAACTGGGAGTAGCAGATGCCATTGTCAGTGGGACTGTGAGAGGTGACGTTTGAGAACAGCCCTGGATGAAGAGTGGGAGTGAGTTACACGGGTAGTTGGGAAGAGTCTACCAGTAAGAGGGGCAGCGAGAACGTCAGCCCTGAGGTGAAGAAGCTCTTGAAATGTCCGAGGAGTAGCAAGAAGGCCATGTGACTGAGCTGGGTAAGGCAAGGGGAGAATGTTAGGAATTCACCCCTGTGCTTGGGAAGTGGAGGTGGAGACATAACCAGAGGCCAGATGACGTGTGGCTCTGCAGGTCAGCGCTAGGTTTCGGAATCGGTAATCTAAGTGTCTTGGGAAGCGTCGGAGCGCTGAGCACAAGACAGAGACATCTTGGCACTGAGTTTGTAAAGTGGTCGTTATAACTGCTGCGTGAAGACCAGAGGCAGGGGACTGAGTGTGTGAGCAGGGAGACTGGTTAAGAGGCTCCAGGGTGGCCCAGACCAGAGCTGATGGCGGCTGGGCTAACAGAACCATGGAGATGGTGAGAAATGGATTATAGGAGGGGATGCTGAAAAGAGCGAAGGTTCTTTTTGGCCCAAGTAACTGGGTAAATGGTGGTGCTGTTTGTAGAGACTGGGAAAGACCGAGGGCGGAGCAGGAGTGACAAGGGGGGGAAGTGGAAGGAAGCCAAGGGTGCAGGTTTGGACATTACATTTGAGATACTGTTCAGACATCCACGTGGCAGCTGGCTATGAAGTGTGGCGTTCAGAGGAGAATTTGGGGCTGCACATATGAACTTGGAAATAGATGGCATGAACTCCAGAAGGGAAACACCCCTTGTAACTGCTTTTGTTCTCTGCCTGCAAGACTCACACCCCATGTTGGGAAGATCCATCAGGCCGAGAATCACCTTGGAAATGGGACACCACCAAGAGCCACAATTCAGGGGCAAAGGCACAACATGTCCTTCTTGTTCCAGTGAATGGAGCAAGCAGGGGAAGTCCTCCTGTCCCCTGCGTCAGGCTGTCCACATTTAAAATGACAGTATCATCCCTGTTTGATTCTCTTTAAAGAAGAGGGATAATATTGAAAAGCGTTGCCAACCCCTGGAAGAACTCCTCGGCTAGAACCTGAGGGTAGGGAGACTTAGTGGAACTGGGATAACCACGTCCTTGGGAGCAAGCTCTGTGTCCTGACTGCCGCCCTCCATGGAACCTGGAGCCACATCAGTCAACTACCGATGCTGACTCCCCCACTGTTCCCAAGCCACTTGGGTCGCTAAGTGGAAGCGGATAGGCCTGGCCGGGTAACTGCAAATACTACTTAAGGCACCATGCTCCAGGCACTAACCACTTCTCTAATGGACTTTTACTGAAATGTTCTTTTGTGTTGTATCTCCTTTCAATGACCCTCCCTGCCTCCTGCACCTAGAGAACTTCTGATTCCTCAAAGGCCCAGTTGAAGATCTTACTCTGCAGAATCCCTAGGCCAATCTGAACAAAAATCTCGCCTTCACCTGTACCAGCATAGTGCTTCCTGTCTCCAGTACAGGACTATCACACCATGAAGCAGTCATTCGGAAAAAGCCCAGCTACCCTATGAGACTGTGGGCTCCTTTGGAAGAACAGCCTAAGAGTCACCATCTCTCTGTTCTCTGCACCTCGCGCAGGGCTAGTCAAGCAGCAGAAACTTATTACATACTGACTAAATGAAGTGAATGAAAGGGTTAGAGTGAAAAACCCAGAACAAAGCCTGTTCCTCTGAGAATAAAGCCGGCAGCTCAGTGAACATTTGAACACTTCATCATTACTCAGCCAACGTCAACAAGATGCATGCTGGGGCTTGATGACATCACACTGGTTGGAAATCGAATTAGTGTGAACCAATGTCTTGCTACTGGGAACTCTAATTGCCTGAATGATCAATAATTTACATATCTCTCTTATTAGAGTACTTCCTCCTAAGTTCATGCTTGAGTTTCTGTGGGCTTTCTAGGGGTCTGGATGTAGCCACAGAGACAGGGCTTAGCCTTAGCCCATCCTATGCCGGTCTCCAGCCACAGAATCACTGGAGGGTGTGAGACACAGGTTCTTAGGGCTGTTAGTACAGTGGGATGACTGGAATGTGTCCAGCACGTATCTGAGTGACCAACCCACGGATCTGCAACCAATATACTGGGTACAGGGATGACATAACCCTGATGACCTTGAGAGATCTTAACTTGTATCATGCTGGATGGCTGGCAAAACCTAAGGACTGTCCAAGGCTCCAAGACCCCAAGACACATCATTTGTTCGATTAACATTCTTACTTGGCCTTGGATCTTGACCCCTCAAACGGGAGGCACCGTAGGTCACATGGGCAGTTACAGGGCAGGTGGTCAGGGGGAGGGTCATTCCTGCTCACACTGGGGATTTCTGACCAGGTCTAGGAAGGACCTGTGACCCACCTGGATCAGATGAGCTGCGCTTTCTGGGCTGCCGTATCTAAGGTCATGTCCATTGATGGCTAACACACGGTCGTTCTCCTCCAGCTGACCGTGTCGGTCCGCCACACCACCATCCAACACGTTGAAAATGAATACCCCAGGTTCGTCCACCTTGCGCACCAGTTTTATCCCGAGCTGCTCCTCAGGGCTGCTTTTGTTGAGAATCACATGGAAACTGTCATTCCGGGGCCCACAGGTGTCCAGCGCCTGCCCGTTGCTCCTGCTTCGGAACTTCTGCTCGCGCAGCACAGTCAGCCACAGCACCCGGCAGGGCTGCCGCAGGAGGCGCAGGGCGTAGTTGTGACGTACGTTGCTGATGTCCATGCCGTTGACCTGGGGGGTAGGGACCCAGTGTCAGCTCCACCTGCCGCACCCTTCCCAGGAGGCCCGGGGCCACAGAATCACCAAGGCCATTCCACAAAGCTGCTCTGTTTTATCAGCTTATCCCGTGTCCAAATATCCCCACCTCCCAATATGACTTCCCACTCTGCCACACGTGCCACCTGGACCCCCCTTTCAGGGTCCACCTGGTCCTCACACAGCTCTGCACATTTACTCATGCAACCCCAGCTCTCATTTCTCTCACCAAACTTAGTCTTTCGATTGGGGTAAAGGGAGAAAAGGGAATCAAAAGCAGAACAAGGCAAAAGAGAGGAGAAAATTTTCCATTGAGCGCAAATGGTAACAGGAAACTGCCGTTCAGTTTAAACTGACGTGACATTTTCTTTCCCAAAGCTTCCAAATGAATCTTTCTCTTTGGGTCATGCACACTGGCGCTTCCGGGCCCCCCTACTGTGTGTGTGCGTGCATGTGAGAGAGAATGTGCGTGTGAGTGTGCATGTGTGCAGTGGCAAGTTCGTGAATGTGAGTGATGGAGCACATTTGTGTGTGAGAGAGACAGACAGACAGACAGACAGAACAGAGAGAGGGAGGGGGGAGAGAGTCAGGGTCCCTAGGTTTTTTGCCCTTGTTTTCAACAAAAGAAAAAAAAGTCTCTGCAGTTTCAAACAAACTGATGTAAATAGAAGTTTCTAGGCTCTTTTATTGAAAGGCTGGATCACTTTATGATGCTACTTCAATGTCCTCAAGCTCAGCCCTCTCATTTGTGCCTCATTAAAGATCTGCAGAACGATGCTGCATGGGGCCTTCTGGTTTTAATTACCATGGCCAAGCAGGCCCGGCCTGAAGGCGACGGCTGCTAGTGGTAGTCACTGCTCCGGAAGAAAACAGTCACACAGCAGCCCCGTGCTCTGTGCTTGTGCAGGGAAGCCTCACAGCAGAGGAACAACCTTCTTGAATTCCTATGGTTTGGTAACATTTCTCATACTCGCAGCCAATTGTTAGAGGAGCTTTGCTGCAATATTCTAAAAGGCCTAGGTTCTCTGCTGCGTCTCTGGGGATGGAGGGCAGCCCCCTCCTGCAGGGACAAGGCTCACCATGTTTGTTTAAGCACGGGCGACTTTTGAGACCTGACTCTGCTGGGTCACCTTATCCTGTGCCTGGTTTCCCCCATCACGTCCAGGCCAAGAGAAGATCAGGGCCATCTGCTAAATGGTCCTGGCAGCCCTTTTGCCTGCGAGCGCCAGTTGAAAGCCATAAGAATCAAACCGTTTTGTTACGCAACCCTCCCAGGCAGCGCAGTTTCCACTAGAACTGGGAGGATGCCAAGTGGAGTGTCGTCAGTTGCACCACGGACTGTCCCCTGGGGTTGATGGGCCCGGCCTTGTGCTCCACCCGCGAAGGCCACTGGGAATTTCAGTGTTTCTACGATAAGTGCTTTAAATTTTTTCTTATTCCAAAGAACAAGAACTTCTTGCCAAAGAAACTGCTCACGATGTGTCAGAAGCTGGCCCCTCAGCAACCTAGAAGGGGCGGGATGAAACTGTCATCTGAGTATCAGACAGGAAATATATGACAAGGGAGAAGCTTCTTGTCATTTTTGGCACATGCTTGACTTCTGCCTGATAAGCAACTCTTCCTTTATCCTTTCTCTTCTTCGGAAAATTCCTCCCTAATGTCCTTCCCCTCAACTGAGCCTCAGAGGACGGCAATGCCCAAAGCATTCTGTTCCACCACCTGTCTCCCTGGAACGCCTGTGGGTTGGCAGAGTATCTTAGGGACTTTTTTTTTTAATGGAGGGCCATTAAGCTGCAGGAAATTTATGTTACAGCTGTGTATGAATGAATGCGAGTGATTAGATAAAACACAAAGTGGTCCATTAATCTACTATAAAAACAATTTCAGAAGGTATACGCTCCAGCTTTACATTACTTTGTTGCTGTTAAAGTAGGAGGAAGGAGTGGAAAGGAGGAGAGAGAGGAGGAGAAGAAGGAAGGGTGGGGAGGAAGGGGAAGGGAAGAGAGGAAGAAAGAAGAAGCTAGAGAGGAGAAGAAAGAGGAAGGAGGGAAGACAGACAAAATGATAGAGGCAGAAATATTTGTATACAGAGCAAAAGGAGGGTGGAAGAATGAGAAAGTCAGAGAAGGACAAAGACATCTCAGTTACATTACAACTCTCACATTAGGAGCATAGCAACATAGTAACTAAGGGAAGTGGCTGCTCCACACTCAGTTTTTCATCCATCCATCCATCCACCCATCCATCCATTTGCCAGTTAACTGATTTGAAGTGATTTTATTAAGCCTTTCTTAACGGCCTCACAGCCACGATCTCTACCTTTAGAATGATGTCCCCGGGCAGTAGCCGGCCATCTCTGGCGATCACCCCATCACGATAGATGTGTTGGATGATGATGTGGACCAGCGGGGTTTCGCTGCCTCCCACAAGCCTAATGGAGAGGCTTTCATTGGGGTCCACTCGGTTAATCTTGATGCTGGTAATTTCACCATCTGGAATCAGGTGATACAACCTTGGAAAGACTAAAATGGACAAAGACAGTATTTATTTAAGACGCCCACCCGGTGGACATTTCCAACCACTCCTCTTCTTGCCAAACGTGGGTTTCAGCCAAACTAAAAACTATGCATTGATTCTCACACCTGCACTCTGTTTGCCTTCCTCCATGCCAACGTACGTGTCTTTGCCTGGAATGATTTTTATTCTAGGCCTAAACCCAATTTCTCCTTCAAGGCCTCCATGAAATGACTCCTTCCAATTAAACTTTGCCCTGATCCCCTCATTCCCTGTTTTCTCTGAACATCCCATTTCCCATAAAACTTTCTCTTTATTTCTCTTGACATTCAACCCTCTATTATTTTTCATGCCCATTTCTTTTTTTTTAAAGGAATGAATTCTTTTTTTTAAGATTTTATTTATTTATTTTTAGAGAGGGAAGGGAGGGAGAAAGAGAGATAGAGAAACATCAATGTGCGGTTCCTGGGGGCCATGGCCTGCAACCCAGGTATGTGCCCTGACTGGGAATCGAACCTGTGACACTTTGGTTCGCAGCCCACGCTCAATCCACTGAGCTATGCCAGCCAGGGCTTTCATGCCCATTTCTTATAGCTCCCATTGAACTCTGTGATCCTTGAGGATGTGATTTCTGGCACTTCTGGAGTTCTGTACACAAATCTCTGCACAAAGGAGACGTCAGCCCATGTTGGGGTGAACAGGCATGAATGAATGACCAACCCATCTTTACGGAATGGACTGCACTGTCATTACTTACTTATCAAGGAGCACAAGAGAACAAACCTGCTCTTCTGACCTCTCAGATCATTTTGAAGATTTCTTCCTGAAAGTCCCTGCTTTTCAGGCTTAGCAACTCACCAGTCCTCTCTCCATCAGATACTTTTGTCAATAAAATAAGTCAATCAAACAGCCTGATTTGTGATCAGGAAAAGAGCCCCAGGCTTGGTTGGTGGCTTTAAGAGGTTTGGCCCTCATCTGCCAGAATGACTACCCATAATGCAGAGGTAGGAAGAGACTCAGAGGTCATCGAGGCTGGCATTTTGAACTTTCTCTTTTAACTGAGGACTCTTCTTTCCCACCCCACTGTGCTCACACGGACCTGCTCTAGTCCTCGTGCAGCTGGAAAGCAAGGAAACCTTGATCTTACAAATGAGGACATTTGGGCTTAGGGAGGGCAAGGGTTGTAACTGGCTGGAGGACACAAAGTTCGGTGGCCACTGGAGCCAGGTCAGAACCCAGGGCTCCGGATGACCAGCCTTCGTGTCACCTCTCTCAGGTTTCTCTGTGGCCAGGGGTTCACAACCAGGAGGTGACAGTTCCACAGGGGACTTGTCCTGCAGACCTATGAGCCAGTGGCACCAGCTGGCGCTGCTCGCTACCTGGGTTTGACTGGAGGTGTACAGAGGGGACGCTATCCAATGCCAGCCCAGCTATACCCGGTTTGGTGGATGAAGCATTCTTCCCGGGTCACTTGGAGGAGGGCAGAGATGCTTCTGTCTCCTGTAGCTGCTGACAACTGCCCAAGATTCTCCCTTAATTATGTCATCTGGGACTATCAAGACCGCATGCCTGGTTCTGCATAATACACTCTTTGTGAGTATTATCAAAATGAATGACCTTAGTCCATTTCCCCTAATGAACAATGGATCCACTAACATGCACTCAACTCTCTAGGAACAATACAGAAAGAATTAAAATTATTTCTAAGTATTGTACAACATGATAAACACAGCACTTTAGCAGCCAGAGGAAGCCAGAGACACGAATGTGGGTCCTTCCCGTCCACTGAGATGGAATTTAAAGTAAGTGACTGGCGTTGCTGTGAGGCTGTGGGCAGCCGGCTTGCTCTGCCAGGTCCTGTGCCAACAGCACCAGGCGACTGAGTCCAGTGAATGCTCAGCTACTGTGACTACTTTAAGTACTGCACTCCACAGGCATTTGTTGGAACAGATTTGGTGACAAGGGAATAGAAATTTTAAAAATTATTTTGAGCAAGGAAAGATTTGGAAATCAAGCTGCTGATTTTCTTTCTTTCCTCCTTCCCCTCCTTCCCAGAAGATTTACAAAAACCCTACTCCCAACCTCAACCACTCAAGGATGTTTGATTTGATAATCTGAGTGGACACACCCAACCACACTTGTAAATGATGTTAATTAGAGCCACATCGGTGAGACCCCAGTGACCTTAAAGTGCTATGGTAATTTTTAAACTGTCAAACTGTGTTAGTCTAGAAAACAAAATTGTTCAATATTCTGTCTTCGCTCAAGGACTAAGGGATAGAACATTGTTTACTGAGAGTGTATTATATGCTGGGCACTGAGCTAAGCAATTGGCATGCATAATTTTTTTGCTTGTTTTTGGTGTATTTTTTTGTCCTAAGAATCCTATGAAGTAGACAATGATTATCATTGTTCTGCTTTTAGATGACGAAACACTGAAGCTTAAAGTTAAGTAACCCAGTCATGCAGCTGATAAGTAGTAGAGCCAGTCTCCTTACTGACATAAGAAGCATGGATAACCGTACCTCCAGAGTTCACCAGATACACTACTGGCCTCCCTGGGTCTTAGTGCCTCATCCTATCCCAGAGAAATGGCTTCCTGGAGCATTTAAGGAAATCCATTCTCTCCCCCTCGAAGGCCCCTGCACACGGGACATGGCTGCCCTCTTCAGCTCCAGTTCTACCACAATTCTACACACGAGTTTTCATGGTACTCTATTTTCTATTCTTGAATGAACTTCTTGGAGCCAGGACCAGGATTTTATCATCCTCATATAAAAATCACTGAGCCTTGGTTTGTGCCTTAAACATAGTAACCTCGTATGAAAAATGTTTCTGCAATAAACATGCAAATAATTCTTCTTCATGCAAGAGAAGACATTATATAGAGTGTAATTAAAGAGCCTTGAATAGGAAAGGAAGACTGGCAGAAAGGAAGTTCTAATCATTTCACTTACTCATTGCACAAACATTCAGTGAGCGCCATTGTACACCAGATACCGTGTGAGGCTTTGAGAACACACCGGCCCAGAAGGAGAACCCTTGCCCTCACAGGTTCACTTACAATGAAAGGTGATCATTGCTGTAATAGAGATCCAGGTGCTTTAGGAAAACAAAGGAGCGAGGACTGAGGGAATCAAGGAGGGCTTCAAGGAGGAGGCAAAGCCTATGGTGGAAGGAGGCATTAGAATGCCAGATGAAGGAGAGTGAAAGTGCAGGCTGGACAATGTCACGGAAGTGGGCAAAAGACAGTATTTACAGGACTGTGATAATAAGTTTAGAATAATGAAATAAGCAGTGTGTGTATAGAGTGGGAAGTGGGAAGTGAGCAAGGGGACTTATAAGATTGCTTATACATTCTCTGAAGGCATGCTACGGACAGTGGTTTGGACTCTACCTCCAAACCCCCAGGGGAAAAGGAGTACTTAGGCAGTGGTTAGGGAGTGGATTCTGGAGCCGGAGGACCCGACTGAAAACCCCAGGTGTGCCCTTTACTAGCTGGGTGACTTTGGGTTGGCAACCTAAGGTCTCTGGGTCTGCCTCCCCATCTGTAAACTGCGCGTGATCCCAAAGTGTTGTCACGATGTCTAAACGACTTAGAACACTACCTAGCACAAAGAAAAAGCTCATTTTTTTAAGCCACTGTAATTCCTGCCCTAAAGTTCTAACACAAAATGAAAAGGAGGAACGAGGACAACATTTCTTCAGCTCCATTTATACCGGGGAAAGCTCAGAGGATCTAAGATCGAATAACAACTCTGCATGGATCCTAGAGCCACATTACCTGGGCTGTGGAAAGGTACTCTAGGGCAAACTAAATAACCTCCCTGTGCCTCAGTTTCCTCGTCTGTAGAACAGCTACTTCACAGGGCTGCTGTATGGATTGCATGAGTTCATGCATGGGAACATGCAGAACCGTGTATCATACATGCATACATAGTGGTAATACGGACAAGTAGTTGCGTACCATGTACTCTGGGCTAGGCACTATTCTAACTGCTTTTCACTTATTAACTGCAATTATTCTTTGTATGTATGAAGCTAGAACCTGAAGGTAAGGGTTCTAACACTTTTTCCCTCAACCTATGTAAAAAGAGAGCAATACTTTCTGCTTGCAGTGGCTTATGTGATGAGGAGGCTAATCAAGGTAAGAAATGTTTTGTATCCCTGGGAAGAGAGTTGTCACAGAAAGTGCATGGGGGTCAGGTTGTCATCGTGCCTGAAGTCGCTCTGGGAGACCAGCCCCGCCCAGCCTGCAGGAAGTTCGCTTACCTTCAGGGAAAGGGGTGTTTTCAGAATTTCCTCTGCCCTGGTCAGCTTGGTTGGCAACTGCAGTTCCACTCTTTGTCCTTCGAAGAACACTCAGAGCTCGATTTAACTTCTTAAACGACCTGCTTCTAACAGAGGATCGCTCAAAGGGCCGTGCTGAGGAAGAGAGAGAAGGCACAGTCGCTACAAGGCACAGAAACTCTCTTTTACGCGCACGTCTGGTGAGGGATTGTGCAGTAAAACACGAACCGTGATTCTGCTAGGGGGTAGGATGATGGAGCTGCTTAGGGGTGTTTTCTAAGTGTGCCGCACTGACACTGCATGGCTTGTTTAAAAGCCTGCTTTTCTTTTTCCCTGGATGAGACTGAATACAGCAGCACCTTTCCTGGGCAGCACCAGTGGGCAGGCACTGGCACTGCTGGGTGATGAATCACTAGGTCTGGCTTCAACCCACCACCCACTCAGACTATCCATATTTTTAATGATCAGAAGTACTGGTAGTTTCATCTCACTTTGGAGAATTGCTGCCAAAACACCCAGAATTATTTCTCCTTAAAAAAATATTTTAAGAACTTTCCACAGTGAATATCCCACGGAGGGCCATCCCAAGACAAGGAGCCCATCCCTGGACAACTGCCCATTTGCCTCACCCCTGGTTCGGTTGCTCCGGCCACAGTCTGACGGACTGTTTGCTGGCTGACCATCCTCTGCCGTGGACACGTAGGCAGGGTTGTCCAGGCCAGGCTCGTCGGTCATTAAGGCGATGGTGGCAGCTGCAGAAACCTCGGGGAAGAGCGTTGTTGCTGGGAGACTGGCACAGCTGTCTGGATGGCCTTCTTGAGAGCGCCTCTTCCTGTCTTTGGCCAGGCCATAGTGCGAGGCACCTTTACAGCTGCAACAGGACCAGTGCCCGTGAGAAACGGCTCCGGCTTTGCTCATCATTCAACCAGCCTCTGTACACAGACATGCTTGCCCTTCTCAGAGCTTGACTCGCCCACTCCTACACCCACCTCCCCTTTCACTGGCATGTACTCAGTATACACTTGCCAACCAAATGAATTCATAATTTGAGAAATTTTTTGGAAAGATGCTTATTACATTGTTTTAAAGCAATCTCTACAGTGAAATGCAAACTTGTGGAAGTTGCATCATATCTATGAGACTAGGGCTTGAGACTGGTGGCCTGGAACTATTTGGACTTGGTAATTCATTCCTTCTTGCTGGTGTTTATTTTGACCACGAATGTGCCCGGTCACATTCTCAGTCCTCTCTTTTGGGTTTAGCTTCCAAAGCACCGAACATAAATCCACAGCTCCCCCCAGACTCCATACTTAACTGTCCATGGAAACAGAGTCACCATCCCCACAAAGCCACAGGACTTTACTCATCATTGCTGTTCTCGAGAGGTAGCCCTACCAGCCTCCCTTCTCTACATCTGGGCCGGTCTCAGACCGGCTGGCATGGGAGCTGGGGGCCCCTGTGCACTGAAAAATTTCATTCGTTGTCATGTCTTCTAACACTGGGAGAGTAAAACAACACCCATGGTGTTAAAGGAAAAAATGCTGTAATTACCTGTACTCATTTACTATCCACATTAAACAGCAGGCTCAAGGGCCAGGAGACCACAGTCTGAGTTGGTCTAGATCTACATTTTGCTTTCAATGTACTTCCATGTGCCACCGGGCAAGTCATTTCAGCTCTTAGATAAGGTTTTGGTCAGAAAATGGTGGTAACTTAACCCTCCCATTGCACGGTGGGAGGAAGTAGCCACAGACAGCCACACTAGCTTCCACAGTCATTGTGAGGGCAGAAGTGGTACGGGTGAGCCCCTTTAAGAAGTGGCCATTGCATATAATGGATGTGCTAGTTAGTCCATATACGTATTTATCAATTCATTACACAAAACCTTACTGGTTGAAATATTTTGCACACTTGATGTTAAATAACCCATTTGAGAGCCCATTTGGAGTGATGCTTCACACATAAGACGCTTGAAAGTAGACAGAATCAAGCAACGTCCCCACTCAACATGCACACAGTATCTACATGGCCAGGGAAACACAGAGCTGGTGGACGGAAGGGCCTATTGCCCAGAGCAGAGTCCTTGCTTTAAAGTTTACCTGGCTGTGTGATCTGGGGCAACTCTGTCAACCTCGTTCTGCTGTCTAATCTGCATATTACGTCTTGGCTTGCTGAGAGGTCTCATTGACCTTAAGCCTTGTCAAGAGTTTAGTACCTCATCAGACAGATATTAAGTTCTCAGTGGCTATTTCCATAGCCATATTGTAGCACTTCCATAATTTATCCTTTCTAAGGTGCCCGTTTTTACACACTTTAACTTCTCTGAGATGAGGAGGATGCATGGGTGACTGGTGGGTCATATAGAGCTGCTGTGCAAGCCAAGGTCATGATGTGGCTGCCCCTGCCTCAGCGTGCCAAACGTGGTCACAGCGGTCCACCTGGTCACTTCTGTGGAGTTACATCCACTCTCGGTGCTATGACATTGAGCTTAATTGTCATTAAATGTCTTAGAAAGATTACATTTTGATTAGCATTGAAATGAAAAGTTACCGTGTCTATAGAAACTCTCAAAAACAGTAGTGGCATGTGAATTTTGTATCAATGAAGCAAATATTCATTGTTAGAAGGAGGACAGGAATTCCACATTTTCTTGCAATGAGAAAAGCAAATGCTGTATTTGCTTGGAAAGAAAGATACCCCCCACGAAGATGAAAAGTGGTGTTACATTTTGTTACTGAGATCTTTCAAAAGGATCGACCTATTTTATGCCAAATAACACAACTAGAGGGCAGGAGAAGTCAGCAATTTGTCTGAGTGGATTTCAAAGGCCCAAGTGTCTGATGTGACCAACCCACACGTCACAGGGGTATCTTTGCAACTGTTTTGAGATAATTTAACCAGTGGCAGATTTTAAAATTTTCTTTTTTTGTTGGTATATGAAATATAATGTTTCTTATAATCAATGGCACCTCAGAGTTGATGAAATGTGGTTTTACTGTTAGTAGAAAAAGGCCTTTGATTATATAACCCTACACCCTTATCTCATTTAAGATGAAACAGGCTTCCAGCTTCTAAAGCTAGTCTTCCCCTCACTGAGAGCATTCAAGCTCCCTATTCGAACTGATGAGGTTTTACTGTTCTGATTAGCTACTCTGGCTCAGAATTATTCTGCTTAAAAACAGCAAAGTGGTTGATATGGGAAACTCCAAAATTGGAAGAAACACTGCGTGATGGGAAAAAATAAAAGCCAGCATGCATCTGAGCAGCTCCAAAGTCATAAATACACGAGTGGAACACTTCTGTGCAAGCCAGCACTATTTAGTCAGCAATGCAAGGAAAGGAAGTTCCTCTTTAGTTGGACTAGAAAGAGTTTCTTTTCGTGGGGCAGCAATGCCCTTGCCCTTAACCATGTGCCCCGCCAGAGCAGGAAATGAATTTTCCCATTGGACAAACGGCTGGCGAAGGCACAAACCATGGTTTGCTGCTGTGTGTGTGGGGGGTGGGATGGGGGCAGAGGATATTCCAATGGGGAAAGTGACATCCTATTCTTCCTCATTCGTCAGGAGGGTTAAAGTATGTAAAAGTATCTGAATCGCAAGACTATACCATGAAAAAAACCACTGCTCTTTCAAATCCTTGGCGTTCCAAAGGCACAGTTGAGTCCAGGAAAGGAAAACCTCATAAAACGGGTAAGGAAGCCTTCCCTGTGGCCTCATATCACGGCTATCCTTACAACAGCTGGAGAGAATACAGAACCCAGGCTTAACTGCTCTGGCTCTTAAGCCTCGGTAAAAAAGGTTCTGTTAAAGCAACTCATACTTGTGTAACGTCGCCTGCTCCAGTCTCCTGGCCTCGCCTGAATCTGAGGCACAGAGTGATCTAGGAAAGTAGCAGCTTGTACTCACTAATTACCACTTTTGAGTCGACTAGTACTGGGGCCTCTTGATTTACAAGCACAAAGGAGGGGAGGGGAGGGGAGGGGAGAGCTGATTAGCATGGGCTAGTACAGGAACATACTGTGAACCGTGGGCTGTGTTCAAAGCAAGCAGGATTTGCTCCCCCTTTAAGATATCCTGAGCAGTAAGTACTCTCAGGTGGTGATGGGTGATGGCCATGAACTTGAAGGGCAAACATAAGGAACATGGAGAACCATTTTTCAAACAAACCATGCACTTTTGATATGCTGTCTATGCAACAAAGCAACTCCAAAAAATCATTGTTTTTGTTGTTGTTCTCAATAATGGAGTCGGGATCCTGATTAAAGTGAACAGAGGCAGGTCAGTCTTAATATAAGAACGCTGACACTGTTTGTCGTTTTTTGCCAGGGTGGGGAGCCAGAAGAGAAAATAAACTCCCCTCCTGCAAAACGTCCTGATCCCACAAGTTCTCTGTTAACAGGAGTTGACCGGAAGCAGGCTGGACCCCAGGCATAACTCACAGAGGCTCCGATGGCATGTCCCCCACTGAGTTCAGCCAAGCAGGCAGCACAAGCTGGCCTGCAGGGGAGCGCTCCTTTCTGACGGTGAACTGTCCCTATGATGGAAGAATAAAAGCTGTCCACAAGAAAGCGAGCCTCAATACCCTCATCATAACAGTCTGGGTGACTCTACAACCTCCCTTTGATCTAACTTCCCTCACATTCTTACTCTTTCAGTTCACTTCTGAATTAGGTAAACATCGAGTCTGCTCCTCATGTTGAGTTCATTAATTGCCCAGGCTGGTCCTACTTGAAACGAGGCTTGCAAACTCATATGCTAGTCAGGTGAGGAAATGAGGGAGGTCAGGCTGGGAGGGGAGGACCACGGCGAACAGCGTTTCAAGGGCATAACAGCCTACACCGCCGACAGGCTTGGCTGAGGGTTGCCTCACGGAGACCAGCGTGAGAGCAATAGGAGGAAAAAAAGAAATAAAAGACATCTACATTGGAAAGCAGGAAGTAAAACTGTCACTATTTGCAGATGACATGAGATTATCTATAGAAAACCCTAAAGATACCACCAAAAAAACTGTTAGAACTAATAAATTCAGTAAAGTTGGAAGCTATCATATCAATACGCAGAAATATGTTGCATTTTTAACACTAATAATTATGTCAAAAACAAATTAAAATAACAATCCCATTAGCAATTCCATCAAAAAAGAATAAAATAACTATGGATATATTTAACCGAGGAGATAAAAGAGCTATAGATGGAAAACTTTCATCAAGACACAAATAGATACAAAAATATTGCATGTTCATAGATTAGGAGAATTAGCATTGTTAAAATGTCCATATTCTCAAAGCAACCTACAGATCTGATGCAATCTCTATAAAAATTCCAATGGCATTTTTCATAGAAAAGAATAAGCAATCCTAAAATTTGTATGGAACCACAGAAGACACCAAAACTACAGTAATCAAAACAGTATGGTTCTGGCACAAAAACAGACATGTAGATAGATGAATGGAACAGAACAGAGAGACCATAAGTAAAACCACACACACATATGGCCAATTAATTTATAACAAGGAATCAAGAATATATAAAGGGTAAAAGACAGTCTCTTCAATAAATGGTGTTGGGGAACTGCACAGACACATGCAAAAGAGCGGATCTGGACCACAATCCTACACCACATTAACAACTTCACTCAAAAGGGATTAATGACATGAGTGCAAGACCTGGAACTGTAAAACTCTTAGAGGAAAATATAGGTGATAAGCTCCTTGACATTACTCTTGACAATTTTGGGGGGGGGGGATCTGACATCAAAACAAAGAACCCAAGAGCAAAACTAAACAAGTGGGGCTACAACAAACTAAAAAACTTCTGCACAGTGAAGGAAACCATTAACAAAATGAAAAGACAATCTAAGCCACAGGTGGCA